CGAAGGAGAGGCCAATGTCTAGCAGATGCCTGTTATAAGCTGTTGATGATTGTTAGCCTAAAGCAAACATAAACTATATTTTTCCTTTACTTATTACAAAATGCAGCAATATATTAAGAATAATATTAAACTTTAATATTACACAATACTTTCACATACTGAAAATACATTTTGCTCCCAAGTAACTTATGTAGGCTTTTAACTTCTAAATTAATAATTATTTCAATGTATAGACACAATGTCATCACAAACAGTGTGTCATTGTCCATGTAGTGAAGGATTAAGAATATGGAATTTCACTACTACTACTACTGCTAGCCCGCAAAACAATGCAGGACACCAGCACCACAAAAAGAAGGCAAACTTGACACAAACCCTATACAACCCATCTGGCCAGCGTGGCACAGTAGGCCAAAACCTCCTTTCTAAGCAGAGGACTATGTTCAGCAGTGGATTATTAAAGGCTGTTGATGTGATGTGATGAAACAATGATAGTAGCTCCACTGAAAATAGCCACAGATGAATTACAAATTATGCTTATTTCTCAGTAAGTAATGTTTAAAAATTTGTAACATTTTTATTCCTACTTTTGATTTATAATTAAAATACTTCCTACATTTAATAGAGAAAGAGAAATTGGTACATTTGGTTGTTCAATGCCTAAGTTAATGTCACTTCTACACAAATGTCACCTATTTGCGTAACACAGGAACAGTAGCAATTTGAGAAACATCTACCAGGGCCATAACAAGGGCATAATTATTAATGCGTATGCTTTAATACAGTCAAAAAAGGTGCTCCAAGAAACAATAACACACATTTATCAGACATTTGTCTCTTGGGGGTTAATATTACACTTTATGTATGTTCACAGTTCTTATTTTACATTTACTGACTGTTACAGACATCTTTGTTTCAGCTAAGTTATACTTACTCCAAGGTTAAATAAGATGTAAATTATGTAGTGTAATACAAAAATTAACTTTTATTTAGTAATTTCAATGCAGTACAAGCACAAAATAAGAGGGTACAGGTGAAATTTAAATGTGAAATCGATGAAATCTACTTGAATTAGTATTCATAGAACGTCGAGGTAAAAGTGTAGTAACAATAATTACTCACCACATTATTGTAGTTGAAGGCTGTAGCACCAGGTTCGAAGTACTCTCTGTTCATCTTATCGCCCATTTTAACGATATTCACTAACTGTACAAAGTTTGAAAATTACACACAATCATTGCGAACATTAACATTTTTTTAATATCATTATTTCAAACATTTTTTTAATATTTATAGATAAACCTGAGACCGTTATATATAAGCGTCCGAACAAGCATTGTTTAATTTCATCACTATGTCACTAATTTTTTTACAATTGGATTTTATGCATAAATGATGTGAACTGGAATGTTATTTACATGAAATACAAGATATTTTTTTCTAAATTTGCCTAAATTACACGTACAGTAATTATAATTTACTTGACAATTTACCTTGACATAAAAATGTCAAAGTCGCCATGTTTTCTTCAACAGATAATATAGAAAACAATGAATTAATTCAAAATCCAGTGTCTGAGTGATTCAATCTTACTAAACAAAAAAAATTAATCGACTGAATAAATTTGTATGAGTTAACATTTGGACCATTGTAAGATTAAATTACACACATTTTTTTAAAGCATAAATCACAACACGATAAAACTTAAAGTCTACCACCAACTAAGTTTACCGATTTTACTGTCTTTGAACTTGTTTAATATTTAGTGTCTGCTATTACTAAATATTAGGCAAGTTTAAATTGCGACTAATCGATGATTGAATACTGTGATTGTTAAATATTTGTTGATTGATCAGGAAAATAAGCAATATAAGGAGATCGTAATGAGGTATAGTCATAACCATATGAATTGCAAATTGTTTTGACGTGATAATGAGTAATGACACAAACAGATACCTCATTGTTCTCCAACATTATGGATTCTACAATCAACTGCCAACGCCTCTAATACTTAGAAGATCACCAGCTCCAGCGACATAGCAAAGCCCTTCGATTGGGTCTGGCATAAAGCGCTTTTCTAGAAGCTTCTTTCCTATGGGCTTTCCAAGAAATTGTAACTGGGTCACGTCCTTGCAAACAAAAGCATTAAGATCACTGTTTCTTCTGCATATCAATGATATGTTGCAAACCATCAGCATCTGTTGCTATGCATATGAGAGTACGGGAGATGGATATAATACTGGTAATCCTAACATCTTTCGGGACAACATCATCGAGAGTACACAATTGTGTCTGTACTAAACTTGGCATACGTTTCAAATGGGAGTCTGCAGCAGCGACTGAAATTAATCCAATTTAATTCCAAAAAGGCACAAGTTTACCCAATGCGCGTTCACAGCAAAAAATATAGATTTCAGATTACCTCCCTAACTGCCTCAACAAGTATTGGCATAGACATTTCGAGTAAAGACCACTTTCGCAGTCACTTAAAAGGAAGGCCAAATTAGCCCCGAAGAAGCTTGGTGTGGTGAACAGATCAAGGCGGTTTTTCACTCTGGTTCACCGCCTGCAACTCTGTAAGGTTACAGTGACTTACAGTCCACCCGCATATTTAATACTGTCGTCATCTCTATGCAGGGGCACCCCAGTATCAGCTTCTCTATCTGGGCCGCATCCAACGGAGAGCGACTCGCATCGTCGATAGCCAGAAGATCTCCGATTAGCTTGACCCCTTGGCGTTACGTAGAGATATAGCTTCACTCTGCATTCTCTATCGTCTGTATCACAAATAGTGCTCCCGAGGAATTGTTCGAACTAATAGCGGCCGCAACTTCCACCTCACTCATTCCAATCACTTGGATGATTGGTACTGGACAATTCCAGCGATCTCGATTTTCCGGAATCAATACACTAAATTAAGAAATGCGAAATATATTTTATTAATAACTACTGCCTGCCATGCCAAAAATAGAAACATAGAACTTATTTTTGTACACATTAAAATTGACTGGTAGATATGCCTTAGGCATTAAGTGTCAATGCACCAAATGTACACGATGTGTAAATAAATAAATAAAATTACGCGCTTACCAGGTTTTGTCAATGGTACAAAAACTATGGATGAGATAAATCGATTGGCTTAAATCTTTAATTTTATTATTTTGATACATTAATCGATAGCTAATTATGTCTTTTGGTTACCGTTGGCTTAAATCTTTTACTAATTTATACTCTACACTAGTATTATAAAGAGGAAAAGTTAGTGAGTTATGTTCGAGGTAATTTCAGGAACCACTGGTTGAAAAAATCTTTTAGGTTTGGATAACCCTGTTATCGAGGAAGGATATAACATCATACTACGGCTAGTAGAAGCCGAGTATCAATGGAAAATGTTGCATAAAACGGGATAAATTTATTCCTTTTGAGAGAAGCAGACAAAGTTGCTCGGGTCAACTAGTTTCAAGGTAAAATACGTCACAATCGTCGCATTTAGTGCGGAAAATATGGCAACGAGTCTTTAAGGGACGAAAATAAAATAATCCACGATAAATAAATAAAAACACTAGTTACTGGTAGATATTAATATTTTACGGTGGCAGGAATCCGAAATCACATCTACACGTACGAGTACTATGCTCGAAAAGAGTTTCCAACTTTAAATAAGTTAGTGGTGTCCCTCAAAGGTGCAGATATTAACGCTAAGTATGGAGTACTAAATCAAAGTTACATAAAAAGAGAATTAGCTTTTTTAAAGTGACAAAAGGCAAATCCTAATGGAGTGCACTGATATAGTATAGCTTTGGTTTGAAATGTTTTTTTTTTTATAAATAAAGGACAAAGGTATCAATGAAATAATGGTGAATTCAAAAGGCCGTGGAGTTTGTGGAAAAAACACATTTGATGTAGGCGTAAGTCACGTGTATTTACGCTGGCCGACACGCACACTAGCGTAGAAGTAACATTGCTATCGGAATCAGATTTTCTCCAAAAGTAGAGAAATTAAAACTGCTACTTCCTTAAGTCCTGCACTCCTGCACTAACAAAAACGGATTTCTTTTTTAATTTAATGGGTCAGTTACCACACAGTTACCACCCCGTTACGTCCGTTTACCACACTGTCATTGCTAGTACAACGGCATTGAACTACTGGTGGTCTGGGTTCAAATCAAAGGTTCGTTATATTTTTATTGCATAATAGTGAACTGTGTATTATTCAGTATATAATATTCAGTTACGGTGCCATTGTGGGTAATGGACATCTATGCCTCACTAAAAGTAAGAGTTCTGAAATAAAACGCATATTATGCAAATGTTTCTCACTACTATTAAAATAATATTAATTTTTCAAGTTTTCTATTCAATATAAGATAGTAATTATTTTCTCTTTCTACAGGTCACGTAACCAAACATAATATGGCGTCGCCATTTACAGGAAATAAAATGATAACATTATTAAATAACGCTTGTGTTAAAGTAACGGAAGACTGGAAAAAAAAGAGTCAGAAACGATTGTTTGTTGTTGTTTTGCTTTGTACTTGGTCTCTATGCCACACTTGCCTTTGCCTTTCCTTGGAAGGTGCTGATATGGTACAAAATTGATATAAATGTTTCTAATTTTATTTAATTGTCAGATACGTGTGTCGGCGGCCGCCGCTGCTGGCTGTCCCGTGCGGGCGCACCTGAGTGAATTCACAATAACAGCATTAAGAATTATTTCTTATAATAAATAAGTAGATGGTATAACACTATTGCATTGGGCTAAGCCTGTAAAAATAGTTGTTTTTAAAGAAAATAAATAAATAAAAAAATTAGATAAATATATTTAATATTAATATAAATCTACTCATAAAATAATACGTGTTGTATGTATGTGTATGTATTTGCATTTAAATACTAGTAAAAGAAATTGTCAATATAAGTTTTATATATACAAAAAAAATACAAATTCCTTTAACATAAGCTTTGTTAAGCATTACTTCATGTTAGTATCACTTCAAAAGTCATGATCCAGTTTTTCTAACAGAATACGTTTGTAAATATTTTTGAATGTGTTCAGTGCCCATTCGTTCGGCGATCATTTTGAGGGACATTCCGAACACTTCGAGAGCTATATCTCTATCTCGCGCCAAGGCAGACTCTTCGCAGTAGAAACAATTGTTGAAGTATAGACCAGTGACTCCTTCTAATTCAGATGCGGTTGCTGCATATATTGTTGTTGCAGCAGCTTGTTGCTGTAAAATAGAAAATAGTGCATCAATACTTTAATACTAACATTAATAGAAATTAGGAACTATTTGTTACATTTATTTGTGTGTACACAAATGTACACTAATGTCCAATAATTTTAAAGAAACTGATGTTTGTAATAATTTAGTTAAACCATCACAACCACATTTCGAACCACTAAGTTTCTTATTTGTGAAATTAAATTAATTAACTTATCAAAAATGATGATCTCAAAAAATATAATCACATCATAGCAGAATATCCCTTGGCCTGCAGTGGAATAGTTAGCTGGGCCGTTATTACTATAAGTAATTACTATATAAGTTATTAACTACTTACCAACGATTTAGTAAAAGGTCTAACTATATAGAAGGCTAATCTGAATAACCACCACGACTTGCTGATATTGCTGTATACCATATTACCGGGATGTAGAGAATTCACACAAATGCCTTCACTTCGCCATTCTTCGCTTAACACCTGAAATTATTAACATACAGTATTAAATTGCTTTTTACTGTTGTAGTAATTTACAAACTTGTAGCAGTTTTTCATCTAATCATAATATATATAAAAAAGTCGGGTTGGCTCGACTGATTTTCGTAAGCTTTGCATATTGGATTTGCCTTCGCTTAGATTGGCAGAGTAACTATTAAATTATTTTAACGATTCAATTTACCTCCGGTGATAATAGCAGAATAAGCTATAATATTATTTTTTTTCACAAAATTTCAGCAAGATAAAACTAAAACTTTTTGCGAAACTTAAAAAATACTGATAATACTACTGCCTTCGGGAGCATGGCCTTTGGGTAAATTTGGGGACAACTTGGAATTAATTTTTAAAACCGCTTTTGTTCGTCGAGACTTTCTCTACAACGTGGTAAAATACCGTTTATTCAGTTAAGTAGAAAAATTGAAAAAGTCGGTTTACAACAATCGCATATTTGCGCTCCGGCCGGTAGTTAGTGTGGGGGGCGCGCTGCTACATCGCTGCCCCAGATCAAAACCCAGTTTTCTGAAATCACTTTTTGTGCATATTTCGAACTTTCACTCGATAAACAAAAGCGTTTTTGTAAATTCACTCCAAGTTGTCCCAAAACTTTTATAGAGACATTCTCCCGAAGTTTTCAGTTGTTTTGTTCAAGTTTATCTTGCTGAAATTTTGTGGGCTAACTGGAGGCTACAAATCCACGTCCTCAAGAAATTTGGTGTCTTAATATTGACTAGAACGCGAGTTATAATGTTGGTTAAAAATGGTAAAAAAAAACGCGGTATTTTGCAATTTGCAAAGAAACTATTCAATCAACCAATACAAGTCTCATTTTGTTTGTATTTTTGCGCATTTTCGTACATTTACACTTCCTTTGTACAATTTGAAGTTTTCTTGTAAAACACGATAAACCGTTTTTAACAGTTGAAATAATAGTAAAATTAATAGTAACGTTGCCAACTAACGGATAAAAAATTAAAAAGGTAGGTTATCAATTTTATTCGTGGATTTACTAATTCTATCCGCTTATATGTGATAAGTATGTAGTGAGCGTATTTAAATACATAATAATATACATTTTTAACCGGGTTTTAAAAAAATATATTACCTTAGCAGTTATGACGTTAAATAGCTTCGAATTGTTATACGCCATCATTGAACTATACGAGTCCTTAATATATGTTAAATTGTGTTGAGTGAACATGTTTTTGAGACTTGCAAATCTGCCAATGAAAACATTATTATATAGCTGCATTGTAAATATTGTGAACAACTCGTGGTGGCCAAAAATCACATTGTAGACTGGAGTGTATATAACACTCCAGTCTACAATGTGATTTTGGATAAAAAGTCCATATTTTAGATATATAATAAAAATATATATTATTATAAAATATACATACAGTTAATGGGCAATTGACTAATTTTTATTTTTAAAATAATCCTCACAAAAAAATTACAAATTACTATAGCTACGATATGTCTGCAACAGCATCTTAGTTTAGGGGTAAGTTATCTCGGGCACCCATCTCGGTAAGACCCGTTATGGAGGATTGGCTCGAGAGGCGTCACGGGACCCTCTCATACCGACTGACGCAGGTGATCACTGGGAAAGGATGTTTCGGGGATCACCTGTGTCAGATACGCAAGGAGCCAACGCCAGAGTGCCACCACTGCGATGGCCAGACCGTGGACACGGCTCTCCACACGCTGGCAGAGTGACCGGCGTGGGTTGAGCAGAGGCGAGACCTCGTGGCGGCCATCGGAGTGGGAGTTCTCTCGCTCGATAGCCTGATTGCGGCTATCGTGCGGAGCGAGAGTGCCTAATTGCGGCTATCGTGCGGAGCGAGAGTGCGTGGAACTCTGCCGTCTCCTTCTGCGAGCAAGTTATGGTTGCGAAGGAGACGGCGGAGCGGGACCGGGAGAGGTTTAGAACTCTCCCGGCCCGCCAGGCCCGGGAACGGGCCAGGTACCGCAGGCGACACAGGCGCCGGAGGTCGCAGAATGACCTCCGTCCTCCATAAGCGCAGGCCTGGGGGGAACAGGTGAGGCCATCTGTCACCCTAGCAGAAGCAGGTCGGGGTGGCGACGAGCGCGTTGCGAAGCGCGCTGGCTTCCAGGGAGCAGAGGGAACATGGGGTTCCCACACGGGGAGGGGTCGTCTACTCGTCTGTACTTAGATGGTCCGAGGTATGTCGGAGCACCAGGGACTTACTTTCTAGGGTATACCTGGCTTCCCGGCTATTAGTACCCGAGACGGCGTGCGGTTTTAGTTGGTTCTAGCCCGACATGCTACTGATAGGTGGTATCCGAGGGGATTTCCGCACGGAAAAAAAAGGGGTAAGTTATCTTCTTTCTAGGGTATACCTGGTTCCCCGGCTATTGGGACCCGAGACGGCGTGCGGTTTTAGTCGGTTCGAGTCCGACATGCCACATCCATCCATCCAGAACACATATTTGTGTGGTGAGCACAATCTTTTTTATCAACCTCCAGGCAGGCCTGGGGTTGATAAAAAAGATTGGTCTAATAGTTAGTGTTCCTGCTAAGTCAGAGGTTGTGGGTTAGATACACATCCAGGACAAATAGTGTGATGAGAGAGATAATTTAATTCATCATCATTGGGTGTTTCTATGCATAACATGTATTTACAAAAAGTATATATGTATTTATATCAGTTGTCTAGTACACCCATAGGACAAGCTCTGCTTAGTTTGGGACTAGATGTCGCTCTGTGATTGTGGTAGAATATTATATATTATATATTATTTGTTGTGTATGGGCTGAATTTATCCATAACATATATTTATAAATATATTTTATCACCAGTCCACAACACAGGTTTTATCTAATTTGGATCAGATGGCCATTTGTGAGATGGGGCAAATTTTTATTATTACATTATTAAAATATAGTACCTGTGTGACTCTGATGATACAAAGAGAACCCGTGAACCTTTCTTCAGGAGTGGTTTCAACAATAAAGCTAAATACATGTGGCTGAGATGATTCACTTGGAATGTTGTTTCAATGTTATCCTCTGTCTCTGTATATGGAAGGCCAAATACCCCTGCATTCAGTATGACAATATCTAGATGACTGAAAGGAAAATAAATATTATTTAATCATACATGCTACTTAAGTACAGGACATATGCTACATTCCAAAATAAATAAATGGGGCAAACAAGTGACCTTATGGTACCCAAGAGAGGAGGATACAGACACAAACAAATAAAATAGCTAGAGCAGAGAAAAATGTTAAGATATTGTTTATTGAAATAAAGGATTAACAAATTCTGGTCATTATTTTGATCATTTATTTTGATTAATCCTTTATTTCAATACTACTATGTGGGTAGTATTGAAATATAGGATTAACAAATTCTGGTCATTATTTTGATTTTGTCCTACAACAGCTGGATCCACTTGTAACATCATAAACAAAAAAATCAAAAAAGTTTGAATACATACTCTGAAAACAGTGTTTTAACTGCAGAAGCACATTTCTTAACACTTTGTAGAGAGGATAAATCTAAATGAATAGATAATAAACTATCCTCAGATGCATTTGTTTCTTTCACAATGTCTTCTATAGCCTTTTGAGTAGACTCCATATTACGGTTTGCAAATAAAACATTACAGCCATGCCTTGCTAATGACTTTGCAGTTTCATAACCAATACCTACATTAGAACCAGTTACCATTGCATATTTTCCTGATAAATCCACTCCATGTAATACCTGAAAAAAAGGACAGTTAATAAGGCGCAGAAAACCTAGCTTAGGCTAGGCTTTAGGTAGCTTAGTTGCAGAAGAATTGCCACTGTTACAAATGCTATCTAGGCACTAAACCATTTTCATTAAACCCATTACCCGTTTTGTAACTACTATTGTGTTTAGCTACTTATCTCGGCCATGCTTCACTTAGATAATTATCATATTAACATAACCATTGTTCATTATAAGTCATTCTAATTTACATACAATTCCGTTAACATTCAAACTTCAGGATATTACACATAAACATTATTCTGTTACAATTAAATGTTGCGTAAAGTTTCAAGTAGATTTATTTAGAACATTCTGTGATTTGCAGTGATGAACATATTATGACATAAGAATAATATAATGGGACAGCAAGGAAAACAAATGTTGATCAAAAGAATTATGAAAAAAAAAGAAACAGTTAATAAGGTCACAATTCCCAAAAGCTTGAGTGATAGAATTTCTATGATGGTTAAAAAAACCCTTCTTGCAAATTTAAAACATTTCAGACAGGTCAAACAAAGATGAAGAAAGACTCGAAGAGACTGGAGTTGCATAGTGTTTGGAGCCATTACTAAGACAGGGACATTTAATTATTTGACATTATTATTAATTGTTTTCTATGGCCTACAATAAACAATTCATAAACAATTAGTGTATATATGGATCTCTGTATGTATGTATTTACATGTGTTAGTAACATGTAAACTGTAAAAGTATGCAGTAACTTTATATTTAATTATTATTGAAGTAAAACTTCTTTACACATGCTTGACTTGGGGCGTATGCTGGTGAATGTGTGACAAGTGTTATGAAAAGTGTGTTTGGGCGAGGCGAACAGAAGTTTAGAGGGAAATATAAGTTAATGAAGATAGAAAGAGAGAAAGGGAGAGAGGGATGTAGGGGCAAGAGAGTGGTGCGAGCACACATTTTCTTTCTCTCATAGCCAAGAAGTTTTACATCAGTCATGTTGTCTAAAGCACACTCTTTTTTAAATTATTCTAAATATATTTTAAAAGCACGTTGCAAGTTACCCTAATTTAAATTTAATAATATCCATAAAAAAAGGTAATCTGTAAGAGATCACCGTGAGTGATAAAACTGCCCATTGTCATTCTGAAATGTAAATAACATACAAGTAATACTGTAGCAGTGTACAATAAAGATATAAATAAATAATTTTCTTTTAGACTGTTTTAAGAATCTGTGGTTATAGGAACGAGCATTTAGCTTTTGTATGAAGGCACTGACAATGCAATGCCTAGTCTGCATGATGCTTGCAACCAAGCCAAAAACTCTCGCCACAAAAGAATTTTAATTTCATAGTGCAACATTCATACAAACCTGATAAGCTGTAGATGATCCGTCAAATCGTTGACGGAAATCATGCACATGTTTTTTATCTTCTTTAGAAAATGCTAATCTGGGGTCAACGTATGTTTTACTTCCGGTTTCCTTCTGAATATACATTATTTTTCCCTCTTCGTCTAGAGCTTTTGACCAGCCAAAGGGTAAATCCTTAGGAATTACTTTTTTACACCCTGTCCTTGGATGAGTCCATTGAGTTTTATTTGCACAAGTACTGAAGCAAAATTATTTGAAGTGATTTTTTAATTATGTTCAGTGTAAAAACATTTCAGTGGTAAACATATTTTCTTACTTTACAAAGTACACATTCCCATCTTCAGTTGATTTTTCTTCCCACCCCGGTGGCAAGTCGTCTTCACTATCTGAATCAATGTTGTGCATATTTGGTGAATACAGTAAATACTATATATTTACAATAGGTTTTTCCAATTAGCAATACACTGTTGCCTATCGCTTACGTTACATACTATTATTTACTAGTCGTCACAAAATAAGAAGCCCGTTTTGACGTTTCTCATTTGACATGCCGCGATAACTTTGTATGAACGTCTATGTAAGAAATTGAAAAATCAAATTCATAATCCTATTTAATTACTATGTGACCCATACACTATCACAACGCGTATCATAAATAACATTGATATAATACTTACATAGATGAGTAATTACCGCCTAAAATCGTTGCTACTGCACATCTGTCCACAGGCATATGCGTAGCAAACGTCAATTCAGTGTTCAATGTGGCGTCAACCGAGTTGAACATAGCGACACATGACAGTAACAATCGCCAAAATGGGTAAATGCGTAGTGAAAGAATGCGATTCAAGGTCACAAAACCATAATAAATCATGCGGAATTACTTATCACGTGTAAGTTTATGGTTTTTGTATTGATAATATCGTAAATAAGGCTATAATTGAAATAAAACATTGATAATTGTAATTTAGAATCAGTGTTACCATTAAAAAATCATTTTTGTTTTCCCACATTAGTGGGAGAATTTATAATTTATGAAATAATATGCTTCATACTGTTTTTAAACATTTTGTCAATAATAATAAAATATAGGAAGAACGGTAGTTCTTAGGGCAAAATCGATCACTTTTTTTAGGGACCCGTTGAACGTTCACCTTCTGCCAAACTCGCAGTGCTGGAGACTTTTGTATAAAAGAATTAATTCATTCATTCATTCATTTTTCTTAATTAATTATCAAATATAAATAATAATTGTAAAAAAATATATATATAAAATAAAAAAGTAAGTAAATATAAATAAAAAAAAAAAACAAATAAAAAAATATATATATATATATTTTTTTTAATTTGTATTTTAAAATATTAAAAGAATTTGCTATACACCCTGGGGATTATTTATTATCAGTACAAGTTGATCATTCACTTTTACTATTAAATGCCATTATTTATACATAGGTAAAATCAAGATTGTATCATGAAAGTAAAATATTCACACAAACTTATAAAAAAGAGTCTAAAAGACAATTGTATACAAAACTGATGCTTCATAGCGGAGTTTGATTTTACACTGAATATAAACCCTTTTAACCAAATATTTCTAGTTATTTTATTATTTATACCTATTCCATTCAATTCGAAATATGTTATTTAAAATATTTAAATTAATTTATTTTATTACAAAATTGTTTTAAAAAAAATTGTTTCTTGGTTGTTTATGGGTAAAAATTTCATACGGTAGTCAACACTGGCCCACCATCGTAAAGTTATGTCTTTGTCTTTGTCTAATCCGAGCGATGGTATTGTTCTTGTCTCGCGTGTAAATGAGACATAAATATGTTTACTTTCAAATGTTTAGTGGTATCAAAGCTACGTCGTCAAAGTTCAAAAGTGGTTACACTTTTTTCGACGTGTGATAATGAGGTTTGCTTCTCTAGTGTTGTTTTAACTCAATGATAAATAAGCATCAAGTTTAACTTTATATTGAAAAAATGCACTCAAAAACACGAATTAATCGTTGATTAATATTCCGACAGGACTTTACTACAATGTCATGTCTTTGGGTTGGTTGCCGTAGTGTTGGAACCGTTAAAAAGCCGTTTTATGGCCGAATAAAATAGAGTTTCTGAAAATCGTTTACAAAAATTACATTAAAAAAAGAGATAAATGTGTAATTAGTGTATTATTTAATATTTAAACATATAAAAACAAAATCTGATCACATATAGTTTTAGCTTTATTTTGATATTTAATATGAATATTTTGATATTATGATACCCGGATACATTATCATCATGATATTGAAAAAAATAATTCATCCTAATTTTTCTGTCTCAAACGTCATGTCTCATTTTGCAACAGTCACATTTGACAACAGTCCTTAAAAGTCAGTCTATAAAATAATTATCAAAGCCGTACATAATTTGTTTCCTTTCTCTATGTACCTATATAATGGTTTGTCTATGACCAAGCGCACGTTATCCATGCGCGTACCGCGTACTGCGCAGTCTTTCGTTCGACATCTTGTGAAGTTGACTGTGCGCTCGTTTATGTTTGATATTTTTTCTAGACTAGGCTTTGCTTTTGGACTGTTTTTGTTTACTACCACGTTGACCTTGGCTCTTCTATTCCGGACATTGATTAGACATATCGATTTGGACTCGATTTTGGTGTTTGTTGTTATATTGTACAAACTCTGTTTCAACATGTCGAAAAGAGGACGTACAATCAACAGCCAATCACGCGAATTGGTTGTGAAGTTAACCGAATACTTCGAACGCGAATCAGTTAATGGTGGACCATTATTACCCGTAACTCAAGTGCAAGATCGCGTAGCAGAAGCACTTGGAATCGGCAAAAAACTATTCGAACCATTTTGAAGGAAAAGTATGGGTCTTCCGGTACTGAAGAAAATGTGTTACATACGCCTAAGAAGAGGAAGAAAAGCAAGCCTGTAACAGGTATTGACACATTTGACGCAGATGCTATTCGAAACCACGTATATGCTTATTACACGAGAAGTGAGTACCCAACTGTAAGTAAGTTGGTGGTATCACTAAGAGAGGCTGGCCTGTTTAGTGGCAGTGCAACATCTTTAATAACAATTATGAAGCAAATTGGTTTCAAATACAAGAAAACCGACAAGAGGAAAATTATGATGGAACGATATGATATAATTTTGCACAGAGTATCATTCTTGAGACAAATGAACAAAATTACAAATTGGGATAATGTCATATTTATCGATGAAACTTGGCTGAACTCGAATCATACCGTGTCACAGTCATGGACGGATGATACCAAGGCATCTCGTTCAAAAGTGCCAATGGGTAAGGGTGGACGCCTAATAATCTGCCATGCCAGATCAGCCGGGGGAGGTTTTGTGCATGATGCTCTACTCGCATTCGAGTCCAGAAGTACAAAAGAATACCACGAAGAAAGTTACTAAGTTGAATAACCTCCCCGAACAGTGCACAATAATTATGGATAATGCACCTTACCATTCAGTTCAAATAGATAAGGCACCTACTCAAGCAAGCAAAAAGGCAGATTTAGTGGCGTGGTTACAAAAGAAAAGGCGTAGAAGCTGACATGAATTTACTGAAAGCTGAACTGCTGGAATTATTAAAACAAAATAAACCTGAAAAATTAAGATATAAAATCGATGAATTGGTACTTCAACATGGTCACAAATTGATAAGAACGCCGCCGTAGATTAATTCAATAGCATTGTACTGACAATGGTCAGTACAATGCTATTGAATTAATCTGGGCTCAGGTCAAAGGATACGCAGCACGTCATAATACAAAGCCACCATTCTTCACTAAGAATATGATGACATTGTTAAAAGAAGCTTGTGATAAAATAACTAAAGAAGATTGGGCAAAAAGTGGTAGAAAAGACGCGAAAAATAATAAAGGAAGATTATGATAGATACGTCAATATTTATAATATTATAGAAAATGAAATAATTATATATACAGGCGACGATAGCTCATCTGGCTCGTCATCAGAAGAAAATGATTGATTTCACTTTCTTGATTTTGTTGTGATTGAGCTAAATTTTTAAATTAAAGACAAATTGATATTTCTTTCCATTGTATCATTTTAAATTGCCTATAACATTAAAGTTTAAGTTATGTGTTCTAATTATAACTTAAATCCAATGCACTTTGTGATATATAGTCAAATCAATCAAATACTCTACAAGCTTGAATCGATTTATCGTACCTATCGTGCACCGAGTCGTATGGTTAATCACTAGTTACGCCACCATGACAAATGTCAAAACGGGCTTCTTATTTTGTGACGACTGTATATATATTTTTACGTTTTTTAAGTGTCAATCACAGAGTACAGTAATTACTAGAGGTGTGACGACGACGAAACCGATTAAAATCGTTTTGAGTGTGAACCGAGTTGATTCGATTAACCCGTGGTTCAAACCGGTTGAGCCGTGTCATAAGATTACGCTGCACTTCGCATCGTATCAAGGTGATCGCAGTCCTGCTTTATCGACCGAATAAAACTGAATTAACAACCAAATGATTCTGAACCGACACGACAGTAATCATTTATCAATTTATATACAAGCACAAACCATATTACTATGTTCCTACAAAATCAGATACGGTTAACACGCGTCGTTTAATAATAATTTAATACATAAACCGATTTACTAACCGTTCGGATCTAACGCACATATTTATAATATATCCACCAAATGAGAAGAAAAGAAGGTATGGTAATCGTGTTACTTGACTGGGTAGTTTGTTGTATTGCCCTTAGCGAGCTAGTAGAACTAAGGGCAATACAACAAATATATAATAATCAATAAATACCGTCGCCGCGGCGATCGTAGGTTAGTATAGGAAATTTCAAGTTTTACACTCGTATGTAAACTCGGTTGCGAACCGTTGGCAAACCGTAAAACAATGGTTTAATTGATCCCGTCGAATCATGCTACACATTGCTTTCGTGTATTACAATCGTTCGTCAACTCGTCATACGATTTAAACCGCGGTTTACTGCAATTTCAACGGTTCGGTTCAGAACGGATTCACTAGAATTATCTAATTAAACCAGACCGTTAAATCCCAAGTAATATTGCTAGAAAGTGTCAATAGTGTTATAATTTTGACAGCTCACTTTTGACATTTTGACATTCATTGTTTTTTATTAAAATTTGACCATAAAAACCATGTCGATTAATGATGATTGTACAATTTTTTTTATGGAATAGGGTTCAAATGAGCAGACGGGAACAGCACCTGATGGAAAGCGACTACCGCCGCCCATGAACGCCTGCAACTCAGGGGTCACAAGCGCGTTGCCAGCCTTTGAGGAAGGAGTACGCTCTTTTCTTGAAGGTTTTCTTTGAGGTCGTATCGGTCCGGAAATACCGCAGTCGATAACTTATTCCACAGATTAATAGTCCGAGGCAAAAAGTGTCTTGAAAAGCGCACAGTGGTGCTAAATTTCCCCATTGTAGGAATTTGCTACAATGGGGAAATGTATGTGTATGAAAATGACGCATAATTCGTAAACATGGAGAAAATAATCTTTCCATAGTAAAGCCGCTTTTTTGTGTGGTACGCTTAGATCTTTTAAACAAAGCAACGGATTTTAATGCGTTTTTCACCAATAGAAGGTGTGATTCAAGAAAAAGCTTTATATATTAAAAATCCGAGAATTTCAAAGATTTGTCGTAGAAACATGTTTTTGTGCGTTTACATTGCAAACGCTGACTAAACATTACGAGATAGACCAAAATAATGTATTAAAGGAATTGGTCTTAAAACGATCTACAAAAAAGTCTTCGATGGTATATGTCTATATCAACACTTTTAAATAAGGATAACCTACACTTTTAAATATTACCTACAAAAAATAATGGGTTATTTACGAAGCTATTTTCAACAATACAACAGGTTCTATTTCTTATCCAATTACTACATAATTTTAGGTATCTTTCGTAACTATTATCAATTTGACCACAAAAAAAATTAAGCTGTATTTACATAATTATATAGAGCTAAGGTGATTTTACAGCCCAATAAAAAAGATAAGATGGTGGTGAACTTTCCATTTCCTATCTGGAAAGTTTGGTAATGCCATATTGCACCCGTGCGTAGCCGGGGCGGATCGCTAGTTGAATATAATAGGCGATTGACTATACTCATATTAACATAGGCCTGCCCTTAGAAAGGGGTTTTGGCCTACTATACCACGCTGGCCAGACGGGTTAGTATTAGGTTTGTGTCAAGTTTTTCTTCTCTTTGCTGTTGTCCTGCGTACTATGCTCTTTTAGTCGGCTCTTACGACACCAACGGGATAGGGGTGGTGACACTGTAATCCGTCACTACACGATGACTAACAGATTTGTTGGAGACCGCACGCCGCTGTAGTTGTAAGTGAGTTTTATGTTTTATCACGTTTAAATCGGTAACACTGATTTGTTGATTATTATCACCTTTCGGGAGTATTCGGGACTCGGGATCGCACTTCACTGGAACAATCTTCAGGACAAAAGTAAAAGACAAAAAAAAAAAAAAAGATAATAGACTCATATGGTGCAAAGTTGAAAAAGTGTGTAGTTATGAACAGTAAAAGTAAATAACGGTTTCAAAACCGTCTAAATAGCGCTATAGTAGCCAACGGGATGACATGAATTTATCAGTTATAGACGGAGCGAAGTTTACTGTCTGAAGTTGAAGTATTACACGTTTATTTATTATCGGTAAAATTCAGTTTCAGGCAGACTTGATACCTGGCAGTTAGTTTTCTACGGCAAACCTCTGAACTGATTTTGAAATGTAGGTACAGTCAGCAACGGAAAACGTTGAACATAATGTGTTTCCAATATTTCCTAATCACTATCATTTACGATAACGTAGTCATTAAGGTAAACAACAAAACTACTTGTCATAATTAAATTACAAAAGAAGCTGAACTCAGTTGAAAAATTAATTGCTGAACATTATTTGTGACAAAATTATATGATTTATTAATAAATACAAAAGTCTCTTTACATATCTAGTTTCCTGTATTTTCTGTTTGTTTTCACTTATTCTGTCGTCTGTTCTAATTATGATTGTGACTATTATTTTTGAAAAGATATGTAAGTGTGATGTAATGTGTGATTGTTGAAAAGATATGTAAGTGTGATGTAATAGCTACATTGGTAATAGTACGACCTAAAACTTAACGTTTTTTGGTTCGTTACCCAGGAAGTGACAAACTTTTTGTATTTTGTTTCTGAAATTAGAAATATGGATTATTTGTTGCTTTACTCTTATTAAGTACAAATTGAATAAAAATGTATTTTTCTTAAGTGTAATTTGCATTTTTTTTAGAAATTAAAACAAAACGTGATTTTTTAATAACTAATTTTGATAAATAATAATTATTATAATAATATATATAATAATAAATTATTTAATTCTAGTTGAAAATCAATTTTTTTTATCATCCTAAATATAAATTTGGGTAATAAGTAGACAAAAATAATGTTTATCTTTATTATTTGTAAATTTCAATGCTGGCCTTATGATGCTACTTCATTTTTGTCTTTAAGATGAAATATACAAAACATCAATACATATAGAAAATGTACGAGTTTACGATAGTAATTATGTTTACATGCGATCTTGTTTTTTTAATCAATAAGTGAATAGATGCATAGGCACTGGGTAACGTTCCTAAGTGAAAAAAAAGTAATTGAAGGTACTGGAACGAAAAAATAAGTATTAATAAGTAAGTAAGTATTAAGTAGTAATAAGTTTTACTTCTTTTTAATTATTTTTTTGTTTGTTCCATCAATAGTCATACGACAGATTATAATAATATTGTAATTAATCGCTTATCTACATTATTGCAATAAAAATAATCAAAATATTATTGCAATAGTTCAAGAGACCAGATAACTCAATCGAATCGATCGAATGCCATAAGATTGTTTTGTTAAAAGAACAAGGTTATATGTATAATTACGGAAATTTAGCTTTAGATTTAGGATGTATTGCCTATTTGTATCATTGAGATGATAACATTATTCTGTACTCGACTCTGGCAAGTGATATCTGGTCCGTTTTAGTGCTCAGGTGTTTTGTAAATTAGTATCTGTTCATGGACTTTTGGTGATGACCGTACATCATAGTTTGATGTGACGTACAAGGGACATGTTTTACGTGTGTGTGGGGAAACCCGATTAGTTTCGGTTCAGATAGGATTCTTTTTTAAGACACTTTTTGTGCAGTGTCCTGCCGCGATGATGACCGACGTTACACTGTTTTATTTCAAAAATACAAAATAGAAGAAAAGCTTTCATTCAGGCAACTCATTTTAATGGTATTCATTTTATTTTCATGTAGCTGCCATACCTAACCTGGGGCCGTACTTTAGAATTGGCGTCAACACTTCCTCTTTAACATCCAGACGTGCTATTAATAATATTTTCTGATATTCCTGAAAAGAGTGCATGGCGCTTTACTAAGTTTCCCTTAGAAATTTCTAAACATGTTTTCAATTTCGCCTTAATTTAACTATAATTTATATAACATGTAATTATTTGTAATATACAAAAATTAAGTAACAATATATATAACAAAACGCATCTTATTAGGTTTAACATAAAAATTTAAAAAAATGAGTCTAAACAATTTTTCATTATATATGCACAATTTTTGAACGAGGGTGAATAAACTTAGGTACACTTAGTAGTAAAAAGAAAAATAAGTTATTGGTTTTTATTTACATGTTTACACAGTAGGTACGTAATGTAAAAAAAAGTGAAGTTTTTATAATCTAGTTGTAATTTCTTTAACAGATTTTTCGGGAACAGATTTTTTGGTTCCGGGTAGTAACAATGAGAGTAGACTGCAAACTGAAAAAAAAAAAGAAAAAATGTGATTAAGATATGTGTTATTATATATATTTTAATGTAGACATGTATAGGCAAGGATATAGATAAGATATAAACCAACAATACATGCACCTATTTAAGTACGCCATTAATTGCAAAGTTATGTTATTACTAGTGCGAGAGTCAACATACCATTATGGTTTGTATTACAGTGTAGTACGTGAGTAACAAATATTTTACTAAAAGCTTAAGGTATAAAATGAGTCAACATACCGACTGTATTGTAATCGTGATTACCCTGACTGCTAAGTCGGCGGTCGTGGGTTCGATTCCCACCCAGGACAAATAATTGTGTGATGAGCATTATAATTTAGTCTAGGCGTAATTTATCTATAATATGTATGTATTTAGAAATGTGTTACATTTTTAAATATATTACAAAAGAAAATTATTATTATAATTAATACTTACGGAGAAGTAAACCTCCAAAGAAATAAAATGTTACTTCACACACCGCATTAATAAGAACACCTGCCACGTTAGTACCGAAGATGGAGCCCATTCGACCTACCATCATACTTAAGCTCACTGCCATGCCCCTGAAATAAAAAAAAAATACATGTAAAGTGGCTGCAAACATTAGACGCACGCCGACGCCGCCTCTGTCGTAACGGTGCAGTAACTTTAATCGCTAATATACTCTGACGCAGCGCTTTGGAGCAAGCTGTTGGAAGTACTAGTCGAAGAGCCACCTCCCATCAAGGATCAGGTCTAGATAGTTCATCATTTTATTCATGGCCACCCGCCTAGCGCCCGACGCTCAATGAGCCCGACCACCAGAGAGACACCGAGAGCACCGCATCACAGCACCGCTAGTTAAACGTCCAACGAACTCGGAAGCCAAGCAATAGCTTCCCACTCTTCCAGCACTCAGGGAAACGTGCGGCCGCTAAGCTAGCATTGAACAGGTAGCTCCTCGAGGCGATCTGTCATGTGATTCAGGGCAAGTGCCAGCACTCGGGCAGGGATCCCGTCTGGCCCGGCGAGGTGTTCTTAGAATGGATCCGTAGAACAGCTGCCCCTATCTCTGCATCCGTGATGGATGGAACACCGTCCTTCTGATTCTCCCCGTCGTCTCCGGTGAAGGAAGTCATCGATGGAGTGTGGGCTCCGACCGTTGTGTCCTGCAACCACTTCTTGCAGGAAGCTGGGTTAGAGAGTCTCTATAAGGAGGGCCCAACAAGCGGAGCTTTTGTTGCACCGCACGATAAGGGTGACCCCAGGAAACACGATCGAGACCCTCCAACATCTCTTTTCTCTTTACTTCTTTGGTGCAGCTAATAGAAAACTTCAGAATTTGCTACGCCTCTCGGTACTCTCCATGAAGCTGGTCCTCCTCACCCTCTCCGCGGTGACATACAGGTAAGAGTAAGTCTGCTAACTCCTGGGGTCACCGTGGAAGTGGACAATCTCGGATGCGGGGCATTTCCGCATCGCAAATCTGTGATCGCAAAATCGCATTACGAAAGCGACTAACCTCCATGTCGACCTCGACCGAGAAGGCTCCGACCGAGAAGGTCGGACCTTCTCGGTCGGGGCCTTCAGAGACAGCCAAGAGTGAATGATGGAGGAAGCCATCATTCCCTCTAAGCTGTCTCTGCTGGCCTCTAGTAGGTCTGACCCTGCTCAGTTTGGCAAAAGTCCACCGTGGAAAGCGGGCAGAACGTGACGTGACTCCCACTGGGATCCTAGGTTCGCGAAAGCTCAAATCGGATATAAAGATGATCTGAGAGCGTCCCAACCTCTTCCAGGACATGACCATTCCTTACTCGTGCGGTGCGGGCAGGGGTAGGGTAGAAACGATACGTCCACTATCGACCCCCCCCCGCAGTTGCACGACGTATTGGGTGAGTCTCTGTTTAAAAGACAAAGGCTCACCGATGCCTTGGCCCTTGCGTCCGTCCTGAAACATATGATGTCGCTTCACAATTATCTACCTGCCAGGGGCCTCGCAATAGCTGAGGCCGACACTGGTAAATAATAAGTGGAACTATTGTTGTGTTTATGCGTGTGATAGATGGGCACTTGTACTTGCAAACGTATGTATTACCGTTTAATATTTATTATGTTGTCATCTTTGGAAATATCGTTAACTATTTAAGACGTTGTTATCCTTGTGACGATGAATACTATTCATATTTTTAACAACCATGTTCTCATGAAAGTGATGTAAATCTGATATGAGAATAAATTTTGTCTTTAAACATGAATAGAAGAACAACTTAACATTGCTCAATATCTTTATGGTTTTCTGACATGTACCTTAAGCTTTAAATATTATAACAATACATCTAGATAACGGTTTATGTCTGATCATAAAGGTATAAATGATAATTGAATAAAGGGTAAATCATTATTAAGAATTGTTATAAAACCTTTATAAGTATGATGTTATGATAGTTGATTATCATAATCGCGGAAAAACATGGTTACAAACAATGTTAATAAATCTCACTTACAATTTGCGCACAATGCCTACAATTAACTTAGTAAGGTGGATTAATAACAATCCAACATTGTTATTAATCCCTCTTACTAAGTGATAAGATGTGCGACTGTGTAAAGAGTTTCTTTTAGGAATTAAATTAAAACAAATAAATCTCTAGAAACTACTGATAAGTACTTACGATTTATTTTTAAATTGAATAGAAATATTAAGCAAATATAAAAAATATCTGTCATATAGTCATGTTTTAGTCAGTCACTAATTGTCCCCGGGTATTGTTTATAGTACGTTTTCCTTCGCAATTCGGTGATCTTCAGTATGACTTTAGAAATCTCGTTCAATCGATGACTTTGTATTTTTACACAGCGGCTGTAGTGGTTTAGGCTTAAAGCATTGAAACTAATAGAATAGCGGTAACTTTCCCAATTCATTTAGATATCTGAGTGTATACCATAAATTTGAGATGACGATAAATCGAGAGGGTTTCCACACGCCAATTTATGAAAACAAATATTTTCCCATGGAATATATGAACTAATGGTGGCGTGCTCAGGGGTATATGTATACCCACCAAAAATGAAAGATCTTATTATTCTCATTTACTTGTATGTTGATACTATCTCTCTTTGAATACTCTTATAATAAACAATTAATATAGAGAGTGTGAAAGCTTAAGCACAGTAAATAGACCACTTGAAATCACCAGATGTTGGATGTATATCAAATTGCGTATTATAACAGAAAGTATTGTTTTGGTATAAGACGGGTCATCACATCACACAAAACTGTTGCATGATCTATATTTTTGTCTACCAAAATTTTGTGACCTATTTTTATCCGTTTCGCAAAAAAAAAAACAATTTTGCGAACTTTGACTTGCAAGCAGTTAATTTAAATAAATATAATTCCCTGCTAATTGAATTTGATGCTAATAGCTCTTGTGATAAGTTTAATGGTTACTTCGTTCATAAATAATATATTAACAAGTGACAAGACAATAGTGCGAGCAGCTGCAGTGACACTCACCCGCGCGTAAAAAAGAAGCACGTTATAATTGTCATCCCGCTCCAGCGCAACGTAACGCTTCCACGTGAGTCTTGCTTGACCATTCCTCCACACCTACGCATCCTTACGTAAGTGCTACGACAACGTTTACTGCCGTGCTTAGGACCGATCTGCTACGAGGTGGGCTTAAATAATTGTTTACAAGTTGCCTCTCTTGGTGAATAATTTACATAAACTATTTGCCTGCATTTTAATTTACTACGATGCCGCTTAAACGAACCCCTCCAAATAAATCTGTCTCGGATTCTAACATTGAGGAACTTGGTAACGAGCAACTAGAAGTTCCTGACTACGGCGGTAACCCGAATGTGAACTTACGCTCTAAAAGAAGAAGGTCTTTTGATTCTGATGAGTTCATGAATGAATGAGACAGACTATTAATGAGACTATTTGCAAATTTTAAAAACAGCAATTTAGCTAACTTGCACGTAGCAGACATAATTCTCCTACTGAATAAAGATATTATTAATATTAATAGTGATCAAACATACGTCAAATTGTAGAGTTCAAAGTGTCATTTACGAAAAAAAATGATTGCTATATAAAAAATTACCCAAGTTGAGGCAATCACGAGTTATATAGACCAGTAGCTAAAACGCATGTAAAATTTGTTTTGTGGAAAGTATAAACAAGTGTTTTTTGTTTTTTTTTATATTTCTTATCCTGTGGACACTCACACAAATGTATATTATAGGGTTATGTCCAAATTAAATGTAAATAATTACCTTAGATTTGTTGGGAATATATCCACTGCGTAGGCGTTGATAGGTCCGATGGCTAGACCCATAAGAGGCAACGAAGATAGCAGCACAGCAAATACCATATCTTGAGTTATAAAGTTGATCAGTATGCTGAATATGCCAATTATTGCGAAAATCAAATTAAGTAGTAACTTTTTGCCAATGATTTTGACTGTACTACTGACTACAATGGCTATTGCTGCACAACTGACATTGGCTACGGAATTTATGACAAAAGTTACAGATTCTATTGTGTCAACGCATGGTGCGTCTTCTGGTGTAAGCTGAAACAAATTAAATAACAACATTTGATTTAATATTAATGCGTTTTATAAAAACAGCTTGTTTGAAAAAATACACTGAAAATACATGTCAATTTAACCTTTAATTTCTGGATGAGAGGAAAGTTCAGATTTAACTTAATTAATATAGTTCATATTTTTGCAAACAGTGATTTATGTACGTAAGACTTCCATAATATATATTCTGCGATTTGTTCTTAGACACAGAAGAAGCTGTTATTTTGTTGATTTTATTCCATAGAAATGTCATAAATTACAATAAAATAGATATTCGTATAAGAATGCTATACCCACTTCAAGTTTAATAATATCACCTGTAAAAGCGAGTTACTTGAAGGAAAAGCAGTACTCACCTCTTCTAGTCTGTCTAAGATAACTTGACATGCAGTCTTTCCTTCCCCGCCTCCTGTTAATACCCGGTTTAATATGTCTGGGACCCACATATAGAGACCATTTAATCTGAAACAATTTTTTTGTAACTATGAGTTGCAATTGGTTTTATGGAAATTAATAAGTTTTTTATTATTCTTGATTTATAATGATTACTAAAAAAACCTTATTTTAGATTTTAGAGACAGTCTGATAATGTTGTATGAAAAAAGGTAGGTATTTACTTAACCGACTTTAAAAGAAGAGGTGATGCCATGTACTTATACTACACTAGCTTCTGTCTACGGTGTTACCCGCGAGTTATTAATTCCTTGCTCATCCCACGGGACTACATTTTTCTTGATAAAAGATTTCATCAGAGTGAAGACTTAAAAATATTTTTTTATGATTGAGACTCCGGGACAAATATAAAGACACAAAACACTTACACAGAGCATACACCAAAAAGCAAAAATCCATTTAAGCACATCCATTTTAAATATGGCGGTTTCAATAAGGGCCAACTCTGTTCTTTTAAAGATTTCACAAAAGTTGTTTTCTTTATTTGGTCCGGTGGTACTGCTAATCTTTTTATCTGTGAAGAATAACACAATTTCAAATATACATTATGATAAGAGATTTATTCGTTACTAGCTGACCCGGCAAACGTTGTTTTGCCATATAAATTGTCTAAGATCGCGATTACAAAATGGAAGCCCCACCTCCCATTTTGTGGAGGTGGTAGGAGGGAATACTTTGCGAACTATCCTCATATCTATCAAATATACAAAAATCATTAAAATCGGTCGAGCCGTTTCGGAGGAGTGCGACCACTAACACCGTGTCACGAGATATTTATTTATTAGATAAGGGATGTTAGAAGTACGACCAAAAAAAATGCTTAGAAGCTAATATGTGCAAGTGTAAGTATACAAGGATTAGTAAAAATAAACATAAGACCGCGCTCTGGGTCAACAATTTTTTCGAACCGGGGCAGACCCTTCATAGCCCTCTCTCCAGCATTTGAAACATATTAATTAAAAAACTCACAAATTTATAAGTTTACATGTAGTTTGAACCCGAAAATATATTGATTTTTTTTCAGATTTGAATGAAACTAAAGGGGAAATATACCCTTCCAAATAAGATAAAGACAAGTTGTCGGGGCTGTAAAATTGGAGGGTTTCCCTCAATTTCTCTAGGATCCTATCATCAGATCCTGATTTAGTGGCAACCTCGGGAGTATACCCTTTCGATTACAAAAATAATTTTGAAAATCGGTCAACAACTGACAGAGATATTGCGTAACAAACATACAAAAAAAATACAGACGAATTGATAATCTCCTTTTTTGTGTTTTTGAAGTCGGTTAAATATAACAGGATTCTTAAAGATTGAGAAGGTCTCGCTTCGGTTTCAAAAAGGAATAAATATAGTTTTCAACCGTACAATAACACAACAATATTATGTTATAACTGGCTTTTGCCTACGGCTTCGCTCGCGGCAATGACAATTTTGTCAATAAGTTTGGCCTAAATAAATAGTAGCCTCTGTGCTATCCTAGACTATAATCTATCAATGAGCCAAATTTCGTCTAGATCCAGAAAACCGTTTTGGCGTGATTAAGTAAAAACATACTTACGTTTTGAAAAGTTTATAAAATAGGTGTCTAATTATCATTCTTTTTGATAGAGAATATTATTATACTAAGAGTTTGGAATCGATAAGTTAAAAAGAATAGTTGCCCATACAAACTTGCACCCCTATTAAGGGTAGTTTTGAAATATAAGCAACAAAGTTTTTTATTACTTTTGATAAAAAGTACTGTGAGTTTGAAAAAAGTTTCATATAAATTTCCAACCCCCTATTTTGCACCCTTAAGGCGAGAAGCACATGAAAATGTCGGCGTTTTCACCGGAAGAGGACGAGAAATTGATTGAATTGGTGAATTAAAAGCAACTCTCTTCTTCTCATGTTGTAAAAAATTGAGTCAACCTTCATTTTTTTTTCCGGAGGCATAGATAATAACATAATAAGAATATAATCATCGTGTTTATCCTGCAGTTGCTACTAAATATATTTCTTCCTAGCTTTCCGACATAACACTGCAAAAGGAATATAAACTGCGGGAAAAGTGAGTAGCGCGTCGCGTTGCTGACATCAGAAAGCTAGGGGTAATCCGGCTACTCGGAGGTCGGGACCGGAGGATGGTTTGAGGTCGGGAGTTCTGGTGCTGAGTGGCCCATGTTGACTGGACGTCCACACTAAGCCCGGTATTAATATGGATACCCTGGAGGAGTCCGGGGGATGCAGGTTAACTAAGGAGCGCGAACCGGGCCAGGGGGGGAAACCCAGCAGCCAAAAGTCTCCGTATCGGGCAGTAGTGGGATAGCGGCCGGAAGTGAGTGCTCAGTAACAGCCTGACCAATAAAATCAGACCCGTTCCTTTTTTTGGGATAGGGCCTGATTAGGCATGGTGTCAATTCGGGAGGACCTAATATAACATGATCCGGGTCCTCCCCAGAGTAGGACACCTAAGGTCGGCCGTCGGGGTGGTTTTTAGTGGAATCACCACATACTCCTGGCTCCTGAGTCCCCGAGGAGCAGGAGATCTGAAGGGATTTTCCATCCCGTAAACAAAAAAAAAAAGGGGTCGCCTCGCGTCTGGCGACCATGGTCGCGTTAAGTCGCGTAGTCGAATGGTCGCAGTCGCGCGTCGTGGTCGCTAAGAATCGAATGCTTCCTTTAAATAAAATTGTTATTTCTTCAACGTAATAAAGTACAGAACTTTTACTTACGGGATAGTCATCTGGTGACTTCTTGGTATTTCCTGTATAAATAGTACGTAAAACTTGTAGAGCTTCATCATATCTTCCTTGTGACACCAAATATTTAGGACTTTCGGGGCCGAATGCTAATATACAAGGTGCTAGTATAAACAAAAGTCCATAAACCATGGTAAGAAGACGCCAGGGTCGGAATATATACGACCCAAAGTCTACTCGAAAGTCTAGAGGAAGTATTGCCCATGCGAATACTGAAAACATATATTATTACATTAAAGAAATCATTTAGTAAATTACTACTTTAAAATAGTGTCGTGTCCTGTTTTTAAGGAGGTTTAAAAATCGTTAATTCTGTAAAGTTATTCTCTCAATATATTTAAGTTGTATGAACAGAAGTTCAAGAAATTATATTATTTTCATAAAGTTCAGTGCTTAACTAGAAGATTTACTCAGCATATTCTGGACAGCCGATAGTGTTAAATAACTCTTCTTGACTACCTTTCTACTAATTTTCTTCTAAAGATTGTATCATTGTTCGGGTATCATCGATTTTATTTTAACGTTTCTGGGTTTTTTGAGAGACGGCAAAATGCCTTTTGTCACAAACTAAACTTTCAGTCAGTTGTAATAACAACTGTAAGATTCAATTTATTCAACTGGTTAAGTTAAATCTTATGTCAATAGCTTTATATTTTGTTAGATATTTAAAAGCAGGGTTTATAAATAGGTAAACATAAGTTGATAGTTATTAGTGATTTAATACTCACGTGGCACTAGTGCTGAACCCAGTATCTGCATGGAATTAGTGACGGAGAGTATGAGATCTTTGTATTTTCCGGGAACAATTTCGCCGATATATGTGTAAGGCACTGCTGCTGGGCATCCTATGCTATCCAAGGCAACAAAATAAATATTTTTTTTAAATTTTCCTAGTAATGCCGATCAGAACGTTTTAGCGAATATCTGCACAAATAATTTTATACTTAAAACATTCCAACAATGTAATATTTCCTTTAAACAAATTATACTGTAAGTACACATTACGAACCATATTGGCCAACATGATGTTTTGATTCATTATGGGTTTTCATCGCAATAAATTGCAAGGAAATATGGATTTTTTTTTTTTTAATAAACAAAAAAATAAAATCGATGTTGTTTTCTTTAGAAAAGTTTATGGGGAGTTTTTATCTAAGGAATGTAGATTATAAATTAGAAATCTGTTGCTAGGTACATGCTGCTGCAACATACATGTACTAATTCTTCCAAAGTACATTGAACGTTAATATATAACTATTATAATGCAATGAAGTTTTAATCCTCATTGCAATTTAATCATTAAATATAACAGAGATGTATTTGTTTTTATGACAAATCATAACTCACCAGATAAGATACAAATAATATGCGTTTTTATCAAAATTAAAAATAATTGTAGATAGATAATTGATAAAATTTGGTCAATGTAGGGTTACCTTGCTTACTTTTCCATTTGTAGAATAGAAAAATACTGATTAGAAATGTCATATAATACAATAACATATTTAATGTTGTTTACTGTTTATCGAATATCCACATTCATAGTATATATTTATTTGTCACTAGTTTTTGCCCGCAGCTGCGCCCGCGTGTACCGATGTCGGTTATCGCAGTAAAAAGTACCCTATGTTACTCGCTTTTCGTTAGTGAAAGAATTTTTAAAATTGGTTTAGGCGTGAAAGCGTAACTACCAAACAAATTCACTTTTACTTTTTTTTAGAGTATGGGTTTACAGCTTTAAATTAAACCCGATTCTTTATGTCATTTCTGAACACTTTTAGCCTTCAAAATACTTAAATTTTAATGTTATTTCAGAAAAACTTACAGCAGCGCGAGTTCTTCTTCCAAACAAAACGTTACCATCCCTGTCCTGTGAGACAGAGCATAGCGTTTTAGCTTTTACCCAACAATGCTTCGATAAAAGCCAAGACGCACTGCATATTTTCGATTATATTTAGTGTTCGAATTACTAACACTTACATGAAAATAAATGATTACATTAATTACTGTAATCTTATCCTTAGATATGTTTATCTTCTGTACTGTTTTATTTATTTCATTATTTACTAGTTTTTCCCGCGTGTATGTAAACAATAGCCAATTTTACTCGCTGATAATGTAGCTTTCAATAGGTGAAAGAATTTTTAAAACCAGTTTAGTGGTTTACAAATTAACGCATTTTCACATTTATAATGTACATTAACATACAACATTATAATAACCTCTTAATAACTTTATAAATATGTAATGTTCTGGTTACAATTTTTTTTATGACGTCTGTGAAGAGAAAAAACTTACCAAAGTGAGGTCAGAAATTTAAAAAGTGCAAACGTTATTAGGTCCGGCATGAATCCAGACACTACGCTTAAGACGCCCGACATCAAGGAACTGTATATGAGAACCCATTTTCGCCCCTTAGTGTCAACAAAATAACCCCATGGGAACGCTGTCAAGACGATACCTATAAAAGAAAAGTTTTTTAGTTACACACAGTTTAAGTCAATATTATAAGTATCTAGGTTTTTATTTTTATTAAAAACACATTTTAGTGTAAATATTGTAGATCCTATGGGTACCTTATAAGTTGTACTAACTAATGTTATAAATATGAATGTGAGTTGGTGGTTGGTTGGTCATCTACTCTAACTGGTCATCATGAAATAGTAAGAAGTGTTGTTCTTATGGAATAAAAAATCACTTTTGCAAGTTCTAAATACATTACTACGTAAATTTAATATGTTATTAATATGAAATGTACGTCAACATTGTATTACTAAAACTCTAAAACTTCGATAAGAGAGACTGTTGATCCACAATTTCAAACATATTTCTTCACGTAATTATATGGGACTTTATCTTAACCAAACCTTGACCAACATTTATAAATGAAATATTTGACAAATAGCACAATTAACTTCGTTCCTATCGAGTGTCTCACGACACCGCACGGCTTTTTTCTACATAATAAATATATTTTATCATATTTTTTTCAATTTAACTCTATTAGTTAATTAATTTTATAATTTAAATTATAATGACTGTTTAGCAAAAGTCTACCAAAAAGTGAAAGGAACTTCGTTCCGACCGGGGGTCCATAGACCCCTCACGCCGTTTTTATTCTTCGTGCATGGGTCTATCTATTTGTTTTGTATCATGGACATAGTGCATTGTTATGCTCATAGTTTTTAAATAGTAGCTATATAGATACTTGTAAGTACTAATAATTAACAGTGTAAGTAATTTATACACACTAATAAGTAAATACATGTCAAGTGCACTATTATCGTAATGTAACGTTACGTTACATTGTAAGCGTAGTTGTCGCCGCGCCGCACGGGGGATTCTGTACTATGGAACGCTTGGGCAATATTATTTAGGTACCTACATTTTTGGACTGATATTAAGTTGTTGACATGTGGTATGGCAATATAGCTTCATTACTTCAAAACAGTTTACTTTAAGTAGCATTAAATTAAATTTGCCCAACAAATAATAAAAAATAAAATAAGTTTCACTTATTTATTTTTTAAATAGATCGGGGTTACAAGTCGTCTACCCGGGTAAAATCATTTCTAAATCCTAACTACGAAGAGCTGTCTTATGTTTGACAACCCTTGAGCATGATATGACTGGGTCCGAAGATATAAAAAACCAGCCAAGTGCGAGTCGGACTCGCGCACGAAGGGTTCCGTAAAATTATCTATTAAAACGGCAAAAAAATCATGTCTGTTGTATGGAAGCACCCTTAAATATTTATTTTATTATGTTTTTAGTATTTGTTGTTATAGCGGCAACAGAAATACATCATCTGTGAAAATTTCGTCTGTCTAACTATCACGGTTCATGAAATACAGCCTGGTGACAGACGGACAGACAGACAGCGGACAGAATATTAGTAATAGGGTCCCGTTTTACCTTTTGGGTTCGGAACCCTAAAAACTAATTCAAAACATCGGTGAGGTTCTTTCTTTGAAGCATGCGTGGATTTCATTTTTAAAAATCCTCCTTGCTTCTTCACTCAAATGATCTATAGGCATTATAGCATTTGATACTATAACAGGACCGTGTATCAAGACTTTATGCACGGTTACAGGGGTACAGGCGGGTATACAAAAAGGGCGTCACATTGCAGTAATTTTTAAATATTTTAACATTTATCTTGTGACTGGCTAATGTCTTCAAAATTACACTGAACTTCTTAATCAACTCTTGGTTCACTCCCGTTATTTGAACAGATTTTTTGCACTTCATTGAAAACATTCTTTCACACATTCATCACACAAACAAAAAAAAAAGCTATAAAGTCGGCTACAGTTCAGTAAAAAACGGAGTATGCATATTGGAGTTTAACACGCAAAATTTCATCTCTTCTTAATTTGTGAATCCACTGAACCCTAAATTCTAAACACTGCCATTAACAAAAGGGCATTTTGCATGAACTATTTCATTCTAATCTACATACTAAATTTCTATAGGAGTCACTAAAACTAATAACTGCTAGTGCAAAATGCCCGTAGCTAGAAAAACAAAAATTGCCTTTTTGAAACACAGTAATCTTTTCATATCAATTTTTTGCCAAGTGATTCACTATCGTAAAACATGATATTTTTATTTTTTTAAATACTGCATAAACTCATCACTACTCATATTTTTTTAAATAAAGTTTGTACTCTTACTTTATAAGATATATTTGTTTAAAGTGTAAACTAAACTTGGCGTTCCACAATAAGCATAAGGAAAACAGACAATAGGTAATGTTTGACGTATAAATAATACTAGACTACCAATACTACTTTTTTCACCTAAAAGAAATGCAATATACCTTCACTGTCTTTAATGGTATAACAAAAATCGTATACCTATGATTAAAAAAATATATTTTTGTCCAACCGCTCCATAGTACAGGATCCATCGTACGCCGTCTTAAGGACGGAGTTTATAGTCGACGAATTTAACTAGTTGATCGACTAGTTGATAAAAACTAATGGGCAACGTTACGTGAGGTCAACATTTTAAACGTCGACCCATCGCTATATAGACGTTACTTCTCCATGTGAAACCGACTTAGCAATAAATAAGAAAACTACCTTTGCTTGTCAGACAGGCCCACCTAGACCGAGTTTTTGAGTAAAGCTGCGCTATGTTGAGCACAGTTGGTTTTTAGATGGTAGAGTTAGGTTTATAGGCGAATGTAGTACTAAATACTACTTGAGATTTCAATGTAGAGAATTCCATACACACAGAGAAAAAGAAAGTTATCAACTACATACGATATATATGTCGTTGCGTTGTATGCCGTGGAAGTGGGTGCGAGGGGTATACCAGCTAAATCCCCCTATAACCTGATTAAAGACCTTGGATTGCCAAGAGCTTCAGTAAGCTCTTTTCTTAAACGAATATCCAAAGCGGCTCGTATCAAATCATCAATCAAAATGGTTAAGTAGAGGGGGTAACACAGCAGACAGTGGTGGTGAACGCTGACGCTTCGCAAAGAGTACTTCCTAAACCTATACCTGGGTCGCACGTCCAAGGCGCTGTCGAAGTTGCATGTGTCGCACCCGAACGGTGAATCCATGGAACTCTAAGAAATAGGTCATATCTCACACTTTCATGTAAATCTCAACTCTCTCTAGAATCTTAAATCTCAAAAATGTAAATCTCAATATATATATTACGTGTTTTTTCTCTGGATGGCTACAGTTGGAACAACGAATTTGATCTTAGGCCTCCTTTCGTATACTAAAATTGTATCCCTTCAAAGTATAATTTTTTTTATTATGTTAGTGTTACTTACGGTTAACTTGTACTTTATAATTGGGTCTTATCTTATTGAACAGTAGATCAAATCATTTTAAATCCAAATGCCAACTTTTTAAGAAACATTTTTATACTGTCAACAACAATTATTCGGTGATATTTATTTTAACTTACCTATGTAAGGTATAGAAGAAACGAATCCTCTCTGACTAGTAGTCATGTTCAGATCGCAAATTGCTGCTGGTAGCACGAAGGAGTATCCCACAGTCTCAATTATGGGAGCGATGAGGAATAGCGCCAAAACCAAACAGTACTTTATGTTGTAAATACCAACACCTAAAACAATAAATAATATCAGGTTTATTAAATTTATAATTATTAATGTGGAAATAGTTAGGAGGTGGAAAGGAGTCGGCGCTACGAAGGGATTTTCCAACCCGCACCGAAAAAAGGTCTACGCTGATTCAATTAAAGATTGTTCTAAATCAATCTTAATTTCGAATATTCTGGCAAGATTTTCACAGCATATCTATTGCCACTAATCGGCAACTTGGGGATTAAATATTGGAAAATTGAGAGTATATTGAAAAGATAGGTAAGACAGAAAGAGAAGGCAAATGCAGGAAAAGAATTATAGAGATGGATTCATCATCAGAATTATCATCTCAGCCGAAAGACGCCCACTGCTGGACATAGGCCTTCCGCAAGGTTCTTTACAACAACCGATCCTGTGCTGCCTACATCCACCAGGACCACCTTGTGGGGGGCCTACCTGTCTACCCACAGAGATGGATTGAGGAGAGTAAGTTATTGACAGACAAGGTCAGGCTCGCCATACATTTCATTTGAAATGGTTATTGGCGGGCAGTAAGAGCCCTCAAGCCCTTTGAAAATCAAAATAAATTTAAAAAATGTTTAATAAACTAATATAGTATAGTATATATGAAATTACTCGTACTACTAAACTGATTAAATTCAGGTTCTTTCTGTAGTAAAAAAACTTAGGAGATAGTGTTTTCTAAGACAAAGCTAGTTATTTTTTTATGAAATGTTATATTGACACTAAAACTATTTGTGTAATTGCGTAATATGTGTAATAAATACTAATAGTGAGTTAACTCAGCTACTTGTGGGTAAAGAATTTATTTTTCTAAAAAAGAAATTTACATTTCACTTACATAAGACTACGAGTATATTTGTCACTTAATACATTGATATATTATACTTCATCACTCAAACATTTATATATCACGTTATTTTCGTCAATTCGTCTATACAGTTCAAGCCACTCTTTCAATCATACAATCTGAAGAACTTGTTCTTGAAGCCTACAGGTCACTGCAACCACTGCCACATATTTGGACAATATATTTACAGATTGTAATAAAGTATAGAAAAATAATCAATCAATTATACTCTGACCACTGTGGTCAATTAGTATCTTTCTGTGATAGGTATGAAAAAGTGGCAGTAAAAGGTAATGTGGTGTTCCATGAAGCATTTTGAAAACTTAAAGCTGCGTTTGACATTTCATTACCCTACATGGATAGATAATAACCCTAACACTTATAATACTAATTATTAAATATATACTTAATTTTATTTATTTATTTTAATACTTTATGAACAAATTTCAATTGTACAATGGCGGACTTAATGCCTTGCGCATTTTCTCCCAGTCTACCTATGGGTGGTGAGGAAATGTCTGACTAGGTGCACTAGATATTAAAAAAATAAATAAAGTGAAAATAATAGTTCAAAAGAAATAATAATAATAATAGAATAACAGAAACAGTGGGATAAACTCAAACTCTCTTAATTTTTTTTAAATTGTTCGAAATGGTATTTTATCTAGACTCTAAAGTAATAGATCAACACACACAAAAGCAACAATCACCGTTTTATCAAATAGTAAGCAAATAAAACAAAAAAACTAAATGTAAACGGTTCACCATGCCAAACGTCAAGGCAGTAAAGGATATAATCATTAAGGATGTCCAGTTAGACCTTGTGGATACTACGAAATTTCTAGGAATAACGCTAGATACAGTGGGGTCCACATATTGATAAATTATCGAGTAGACTCAGCTCAGCAGCATACACAATAAGGAAGATCCGAGAATTGACTGATATTGCTGTACAATAAGGTTGTACCGATATTCCACCTCACAAAGGCCACGAGTAAACGAACGCTGACTAATATTATTTGAAGGGGTTAAACTATGACGATACTGAAGCGATGCTTTCGGTAATAGTTTAGAGTTTGCTAATGACACGAATGCACATGAACAAACCCATGCCCACAAGCTCACGCATCCACATACTCACGCACACCCACACTCACACACACAGACACACACACACACACACAACCATTCATACATACACATACACACACATACACATATACACACAATCATTCACACAGAAACACAACAATAATATGTATATGTACCTACCTCAATTAATATGCTATGCTACTAGAAATAAATGAAAAAAAACTATATATTAAAATGTAAATATACACGGGGTGGAGACCTGGTGTCCTGAAACACAGGCCTCGAGCCTAGCTTAGGCACCAGTCTCCCACAATATTCCGGAAATGATAATTTGTATTTTTTGTTTTATTCAAATGTTATGTATACTATATTGTGGTGAGAAATTAAATTATTATTATTATTGATACAGCACGACTTGTTTACTTCAGTTATTTTCATGGCATAATGTTGTACAGTATTCGACTGTGGGGGAGTGCTGCCGACATTCAAACTATTTTTGTGCTTTGTGCTGCATAAGAGAGCGATTCGATCAATTTATAATTTAGCTAATCGTTATTTATTGAGGCAGAATTTTAAAGAAATAAACATAATGGCAGTCGCACATGTATATATATATACATAAACAGAGATAGCTTCTTAAAAAGTAGTGATGTACGTGCTGTAAATACCAAATATCTGCCGTCCACAAACTATATTGCCGTTATCTGACAAATGCACATTTTGAGACATGAGCAAAAAATTGAAAATCATACCACTTGATGTCTATTTTACTTATTAGAGATATTTTGATATGGCAAGATAGGTATTTTGACACACTATCAAATGATAGTATAGTCGAATTAATTAACTTTATATATTAATCCTAAAATTCAATTTTGGCGTTATAATCAGGTTATTACACAGGTATTACATCAGGTTATTATACACTAAAACGACGTTATGCGTAGCTTAGCGGCGTCTTTGTCTTGTATGTCTTCGTAACTATTACATACTTTTTTTAAATTTTTAATTTATCGATCACTACATAACTAAAATGCGGCTACAGCACATAATCATGTTATAGCTTGAGATTGTTGTAATATTTTTTGCGATTTAGTCACGCTAAATAACGGTTATGCTACGTTTGCCACGTTTTAAACTAATATTATGACTATTATAAATTAATATTGGTTTTTGGTTGAAATCAAATTTAGAATATATGTCTAAAATGCGGTTAAATACAAAAACCTCGACTGGTAACTGCGCTATAGTAAATTATTTACGATGTAAAGTTTTAGGGAATTCTATTAATAGTATGTTTACAGATAAGTTAAAATAAAGTAAATACTAAAAAAAATTACATTTATTTAAAGAAACTTTCTTTTGAAATTATTGTAGCACTTACTTCTTACAAACAATATTTTTAAATATATTTAAGGAAAATGAGATCACATGAACTTATCCACTACTTTGACAAAACAACTATTTAGACTGAAATACAATTACTACGCGTAAGTATGTCAATCGTTAGGCACAATGTAGCTTTAATAAATCGAAAGTAATAATTATTATTTTTAGGCACAGCTTTCTTTCAAATCAGACACATTACATTAAACAGTCTTCTGAATTGTTATAAAGACATTAAAAATAAAATATATTTAAAAAAAATAGAAAAACAAACATAAAGTTCTAAAATTACTATCTCTAATTAACATAGCAAAAGTTCTTAAATTGGCACTTTACATATTTTTTATGCGACGTACTTAATTGTTCATAACAGTAAGTTGTGCCAGAATATAAGCTTACGTAGAGGAATAATATTAGATAGCTTGGCTATAAGATTTAGCTTTTCTTTCTGGGTCTACACCTTTAGGTGAACTGCGGAATGTAATAGTTAGAATATTTGGATTTTTTAGATATTTGTAAATCTAAAAATTTTATACTTTTTACTTACTTGCTTACTACTACGTTGTTTAGTTACGAAACATTGCAGCAGTACATTTAGCTGGTATTGTTTGAAGTCGACTTTTTTCAAAAGGTTTTTTTTACAAAAAAGGTCCGGTTAAAAGATACTTGAGATACGAGTATGCTCTTCATTTTTGAATGCGTCTATGAGATATTTTAGATTGATATTTCGTAACCAACTTAGATTTATTGATGGAGGTTGCCGCTTCTCGAAAATCGCCGAAATCGTGTAATTTGCCTTTTTTTCCATCGCTAACTCGACTTGGTGATGAACCTGGTCATAGCTCATAGAGGCTCAAAATAATATAAAGTTACTGATTCTGTTACAATCAATTTCTATTTCTCATGTGTTTGAACTATGAAAATAACAGCCAGTTTTTGTTCTGGAAGCTGCAATCATCTGACCAAATGTTAATTCCCTTAACATCTCGGTTAGCCAATAAGAAAAAATAAAATGCACTCATAATATCCTCCTGCTATCGTCCTGCATAGAAATCGTGCCAATTAACAGCAAAACCTTTGCATTCGTTTTTTATTTTACCAACTGGTGTAAATGTTTGATTGAATGCAATGAACCGCTGACAGAACGATTTAAAAGAATCCATCCTGGGTAATATAATTACCTTTTCTAGGTCCGAACTGACAAATATCTGCGATTAATTTCGAGGTATGTTCTTATGCAGTTCATACAACTCCCTTGCTTTCCTATATTTCACATGGTGCTTAGCCCACTCTACACAAATACATAGTAGTCTTCAGTAGTTTGATTATTGGCATCATGATTGTGGTCATTATTGGCATCATCATTGAGGTTGCTTTTCATGCAAGTTATACGTCTCACAAGCCTCACATTCTTTATATCAGTAGAGTAGAGTCATCATGTTTTTTTAATGTAAAAACTCTTTTTGGGTTCGGTGGTATACTTCCTTTTAGGAACTGCTCTTGCCAAGTCATGTTCCAATACATTTCATTAATGTGTTCTCACTCTTCTTGGTGTAATTTTTAAATTGCATTTCTTGAGGCATTTGTCACTGCATCCCATTTTAACAGTGTGTTCAATTCTTCTCTTATTTTTAGCATCTATTTTCGCTGACGTAAAAAAGTGGCATATCTTTTACGTTTTGATGACGATTGCGCTGTTACAGACTGCAATATATATGTTTCTAGTTCATGTTCTGTAAAATGTATTTCATTTGTACTAAATCTCCACTGCGGAGATTGTGTCAATGGTATTCCTTCGTCGACTGTCGTCGAGGGAGCTTTCTTAGACTTTTAGACTTCTTAGACTCAATGAGCTTCTCCGAAATACGAGGAAGAGTGTTGAATCTATTTAGTCGTAACTTGAGTTGAAGTAACAGAACGTTAGCTTTTTTCTTTGAATTTCCTTTCTTTTATAAGAGTTTGGGCTGTTGATTGTCTTTGGTAACTACATGAATATTATATTCTCCAGAGTCGCCACTTGACGCAGACGGATTATAATTTTTATCACGCGCAGAATCGTCAGAATAAAAATCAATTGGTGAATCTATCTCTGAAAACTTCTAGTAACTGTTTTGTGTAAATTATGTGCCTGGTGTGAGATGTACTTAATTTATGTTTCGCAGAATGTTTGGAACACAGGCAGGTCTTGTATATTCATATATACAAGACCTGCCTGTGTTCCAAACATTTATCGGCAATTTAGCGTTGTAATTTGGGATAGCCGCATTTTAGTGTTCCAATCCAGCTTAAATAATTTTACTATTATTTTGAAAACGCCGTGAATGTCTTGTTCAATATGTAAAATCTCAAAAAATGTGTGTGGAATAACACGCATAAATGCAGTTAAGTGATTTTAACCGCATTTATGGTAGTATTTTTAGTTAACGGCTTTATAGCGTTAGAATGCTAATCTACAAAAAAGTTAAAGTGTTTTAACTTCATTATTGAGTACAAAAATCAGTTAACAACAATTTAGTTATGTAACTTACATACAAATTACAACTTAAAAAAAACTAAGGGCTCTTAGCCGCTTTTTAGGTTACGAAATATAGTTAACTATGTTTTTGAGTTGTACACATATGAAAAAAACATGATATAACGGCATTTTCACTATCTTTATCTCGAGAATAAAAATATACAGAAATAAACCGTAAATACAGGTCGATAGAGCTTTTTTTCTGATCAAGATGGACTTACTAACTAAACTGGAAACTAAATATCAACCTGATGTGGGTTAACGGCATTATAGTCTATGCACGGCAGATTTAGAAATAAATTTGTTATACCTGCATCTAGGCTCCTAAAGATTAACAAGTCATTTTGAGGTCAACGTGTCGACGATTTTATAATAAAATCCCAAGTAATTTGCAAGACAAGTTAAAACAAATTTAAATACACAGTAAAGCGCATGCTGGGTCAGAAGGCCTATTACTTGATTGAAGATTACATAGAAGATAAGAATGCTTGGGATTAATTTAGCACGGGCTATTTCTTAAGTGGATATGTAGTGTGGGATAGTATGTTTTTTATATCTTTTTCTCTATCTCTTTTTTCACTTTTAATTCTATTCCATCATTTTTCTTTATCTTATTTTCTCTTAACTGCTTAAACCTTTTAGTCCTTAATAACTGACATACTGGCGCAGACAGCAAAACAATGTTGTTATATATATTTCATGATGCCAACAACTATATCTAGTTGTAATTAAAAAGAGTTGCCCTGAGTTTGTTTGCCCTTCCTTCTCATAAGGCTCAACCCCTTGGAAACTTGTGGTTGTAAATCGGCACAGTCATATAATGGATTACTTCCTTTTGCTAAATATATTTGACAAAACAGATTGTTGCTCTTGTAATTTTTTTAATGGTCTGGGTCTGGTATGAAGGAGACCGGAGTCCCTCTCCTGCCCGCGATCTACCTCTGCGGTAGTAACGGCCGGCTTCGCTTGCTAACCGGTGCGGCCGTTCAGGGGTGTCACGTACATCAGTTCCACGCGTTTGGTGCAACACAAGATAACTCGCAATATTTTTATTATTTGATTAACTTACAGTAGTACTATTATCTCTTTACTTTACTAATAATATAATATAAGAGAAAGAGCATATAATAAACTCTCGATGTATTTGGTATTATGTATGTATTTAATATACATTAACATCTAATTATAAAAATACTTATATTACTGTATTTAATAATATACTAATTACATACATTTATTAATATTATGTATTATATTACGTATAAGAATGTTAATATCGTGATGGGAAGCTGCAGCAATCACATGGTTGTAAGAATTCAATTTTACTAAAATATTTTTCCAATATTTTCATTACCTGAAATCACGAAACGAAAAAACGAAATATATTTTATTTTTCCGATATTTAATTTTAACCTAATAAAGTTGACTCACTATTAGCATTTATTACACATATTGTAATTGATAGATATTGTCAACAATGTGATTTATTGTTGGACGTTTAGAAGGACGTTTAAATTTACACGGTACACAGAGATTCCATTCACTACGTTGGTTTTATTTCTTCTTTTTGCAAACATCGCACAGCTCCGATATCCGGCGGTGTGGTCATAAATGAGCGGATACTGCAATTTTTTTATATTTGGCCATCTAACATACAACGCCATCTAGTTTCAAACTAAGCAGAGCTTGTACTATCAAAGCTAGATTGATAGAATACTTGTATGCTTTTTTTTTGTAAATACATACTAGCTAGGTGTTTGGGTATTTACTATGTATAATATATACATAGTAAATACCCAAATTCCGAAACAAATATTTGTAGATCATATAAACACTTAGTCCGACCCGGGAATCAAACCCGAGACCTCAGCACAGCAGTCGCATACGCTACCACTGCGCCACCGAGGCAGTCAAATTGCACCGATTCCTAGCGTTATCGCAATGGTTAAACAGCGTAGATTGCGATGCCTGGGGCATGTGGCATCGAATGGATACCACTCGCTTACCACGGCGTAGCGATTCAATGACTGCACAAAGCGCGACATGCGTGCATTCGGTATCAACTACAAGAACTGGCGAGACTTAGCAAATGACCGCAATAAGTGGAAAAAGTTTCTGAGCGACGGTTGTGGTTTACATGACACCAGACAGTTCCAGACTTTGGCCGATAGGCGTGTAAACTCGTAAATCGTGAAGGCTGGTAAATCGATCCTCTCGGTCATGGCACATCGATTTAACAGCCTCCAAAAGATCCTAAAATCTAATGCCAATCGGACTACGCAGCCATATGAAAAGTTGCCACAAAGACGACATAAATCATCTGACAAAGATGTATAACGCCAATGTAGGTCGTAGTGACAATATTTTGATGTAGTGACAATAAAAAGGTTGTAATCAAGAAATGCCATATTTTCTTATTGTTTGAACTTTTCCTGGACTCCCACAATTATTTTAAGACCAATTCAGGCAAATTGGTCTAGCCGTTCTCGAGTTTAAGCGAGACTAACGACCGGCAATTCATTTTTTAATACCTATACAGGATTTAAAAAAAACGTTAATCCCAAGTAAAAACATTTGGATCTTTGACGAACAGTAAGTAATTATAGTTAATATAGTATCGTACTTTCTAAGGAGAGTCCTATGTCCAGCAGTGGACTATTAAAGGCTGTTAGTGATAGTATCGTAATGTGTTACAATATAGTACTTGATATTATATTTATGTATAAACATGTGTTAAATATGCATTTATGCACTTGGTGTACAGCATTTTAGATTACGAAATTCAGTGTTGCATTTATCAGCTATATTCACGACACATTTTCTTTGTCGCATAAGTTGATCAGGTAAATTAGTGACTTTGATAATTTTGATAACGTTGATTATCGTACATATACATACATATACGGACATATACATTATAGAACATTCGAAAGTAATGCTAACAAAAAGTGTATTGTTTTAATAAATCATCTAGGTATTGGTGACAGACAGAGTTATGGCCGCATAACACATTTTTTTTGGAATTTTGTGTATTCGTTTAAACATTTCTCTGTTTTAAAAAAAAACATAATTAAAGAAATATATAAACAAATACACAAATTTATATAGTATGTATTTTTATATATTTTTTTAAATTCCTTTTCCTAATGTGTTAACTTGACCTACGACACTGTGTGATACTGTACGTAAGGAAAATAAAAAAAAAATAAAAAAAAATGGTTTACCTGCTACTGCAAGTGCTTGATCTAAATCAGCTGCTCGATCCTCTTCTATCTCCACCGTTTTAGAAACAGTATTAATCTTATCACTCATTTTTAAAACTTTTGAACTAAACTTAGGTTAGACAAGTCTCTATCCACCAGAAACAGCACATGTATTGTAGAGACTTCTCATATCTGTAAGACAATGTACACGACTGATGAGTAAGTAAAACCACAGTATAATTTAATTCACGGCTATAACATAATAGATTAGAGTGTATTAAAACGCGATCAATTTATTACACTGATATGCTTACCACCAGTAAATATAATAATATGCGCAAAACACACTAGTAGCTTCTTTATCAGTTGTTTTGATACTAACAATATTGGTAATAAGCGGCTTAGTGACTGTAATTCACTCGACTCGGCGTCGACTTGTGATATGATCTGGGAACCATTCACGCGCTTTTAATATAGTTCTCGTATACGATACACGATTCTTTACTATTTTATAGTGTAGCATAATCTTCAATCTTATTCTCTATTTTGATCAATCTCATAACTCAGATTTTTCAGTGTGCCTACCATATTTATGCCAATAACCTACAACTTTAATACTTATGCTACGATAGAGAAAATGTCACAGGTTTTTTCTAGGTGTAACTGGGATTTGGAGACTATCAGCGGGTGGTCTGACAGGTTTGGTTTGTCTGTGAACTCTACAATATGCCAAGCTATTATCGTTGCCGGCTGCTAGGTCCGAAAAAAGCCATCTGTAATTTCTAACGCATCAATCACATTCATTTAAGTTTTTCTTTTAAGGGTATAGGCGTCTTCTTTGAAAGTAACCTCAGCTGGCAATCAATGGTAGCTTCATTTTTTTGCTTATCTTTTCGTGTAAATGTATTTCTTAGTTAAGTTTTACTTTGGAACTTTTACTTATACCCCAGACTGGCGGAGAATGCTTAGGGCATTAAGTCTACCATTGAACATATTTTTGTTCACAATCAATAAATAAATAACCAGAACAGAAAAACAAATACTTTGGAACGGCATTTGCGTTTTATTTCTTACCTTAAATGTACTTTGTTTGAAATTTTCAATTACAATAACATGTTTTTAAACCGCTTTTGGAAAACTAACTTTATTCAGATGATGATTGAAAAACTAGATTTAAATTTATATGAGATGAAACTGAACCCTTGATAATCTATCAAAGTTTCATTGTCATCTCATATTAACTTAAATTATTGTAACATTATTATGACAATATAAGTGAATAATTTTGCTTTGAATACCTAATTTCAGACACTGGCACTGTGTACCTTGTGCATTCTATTATGTTTATTGTTTTCTATTTAGATTCATTTAGTTCACGATGTCATTGAGCCCACTCATTGTGAGCATTAACGAAGTTAATATTCGTACAAATTTACATACACTGTTGTTATTAAATTACGTAATTTACTCGTATATACACGTGTAATCTTAAAAGTAAGTTAACAGTTGTTCTAATTTTCAAAAATAAAAAGACTTTGTTATACAGTGAACACCGTGGGAGAGTCATACTTAGGCCATACTACACACAGGCTATGGCCGAAGTGATACTCCGGTCGAACCGGACCGACCGACAAAACCGGTGTTAAGCAACTCTTTTCTTGCATTGCCCTTGCTGAATGCTGGAATGGGAGGAGTTTCTCAAAGTGCGGCAACACACTTGTATTCCTTGGGTTGCAGGTGTCTTTGGAGCAGTGGAAGTAACTTACCACCAGGTGTACCACTTGCCCGTTTCCCCTCTGTACCATAAATATCTTTCAATCAATAGCCTTTAACAATCCACTACTGGACATAGGCCTATCCTTAGAAAAGAGGTTTTGGCCTACTATACCACGCTGGCTAAACGGATTGGTATAGGGTTTGGGGTGCTGGCTAGAAAACCTCCCCGTGGTGCACCCTGGAAACGCTGGCGATGGTACTGTTTCCTCCTTGTCCTCTTGGAGGAGAGGATTATCGCCAGCGGCCAATATTCTAGCAGAAGAGGCAGCCGTTCATCGGCTCTCGGGCAAGGCCTGGTCCAGCAGGGTGGGCGTGTCTGCCGGTTGCCCTGCTGGCTCTTCGCTCTTCGGAGCATGGAGGAGGAAACCCTCGGTAAAAAACCTGATGGCGGGGCCCTGTAGGGGCCACAGTTTCTCCGCTGACAGCGGTGGAGAAAGCAGGACGGGCTCGGCGTGTACTCACACTACCACCGAGCAGGCAGGGGGACGTAGTCTCCCTGTCAACCGTCGGCATATCGTAATCCCGAGAAGAGCGCTGTGGTTAAGTCTCGCGGCTCTGATCGGGGGCGAGGGTCTTGGCTTAACCGCCCGGACCGCGAGGAAGATAACCTCTCTAAAAAATTCCCCGAATCCCGTGTTCTGGTGCGTGGCCAGGGGATGCATGGCTGATGGGAAGTTCAGTCGCGAGCGCACTCCAAGCCGAGGTACCTGCAGGGGGTTCAGTCCGGCGCCCACC